ACACGTGAACTAGAAAAGGCCAGGGGCTGTGGGGAGGGGGCAACGGGGAGTGGCCGCTTCATGGGGACGGGGTTTCCTTCGGGGGTGAAGGAATGTTCTGGAACTGGACAGGGGGGGCGGTTCCACCTCACTGTGACTACACTAAATGCCGTGGAGTCACTCACTTTAAAACGGTGACTTGTATGCTATGTGAATTTTGCCTTGATTTTTTAAAAAGTCAGACACAAAAGAATCTAGATGTCGCTGTTAATTCTCCTCACACGAAAAACAAAAACAGGGAAAACTAACGTACGCCATTCAAATTCAAAACTGTGGTTATTCTGGTGTGGGAAATCAAGGGGGGGGGGGCGCCGACAGTGTTCGATTCTTGCCGTGCAGAGTTGGGACGTCTCACCGAACTGCTTCACACATACAAAATGCACGCTTTCCTGTACGTCTGTTATGCTTCAATCAAAAGTTAGGTAAAAAGGCAAAGGTAATACGTGTGAATAGATATATATTGTTCACAATAGCAAGTATTTGGAAGGAAGGTTATAAAATAGAGTAGTTAGGCAAATTATATCTTAGATGAAACATTACAGCCAAAAAAGACAACAGATTATGCGGAAACACAGGGTATTTTTATTAAAAAAAAAAAGCAAAATGCAAACTCGAAGCCGCATTATGACAAGCAGCATGAAGAAAACCAGTGTCTAGACAAAAAGGATCAAGAGAAGAACAAGTCAAAATGCTCTTAGCAGTGGGGATTCTGGTTTTATTCTGAACTGCCCGTGGGTTTTTTAAAAATACTCCCTTTCTATGACGGCGAAGGTATGGCAGTGAAAGGAAAGCAAGCAAGTGGGGCCTGCGGCCTTCCCTACCTGAAGGTCTGCACCTGGATGGGCTCTCTGCGCTTCTGCCCACGCAGCTGGCAGACCCCTTTGGAGGCCTTCTTCAGCATCTTCTCAGCTGCCTGTTCTTGATGGAAGTCAGGTTGGGTCTGTCTTGTCTGGAACGGCACCATTGGATGAACGAGACATTTTTACTTCTAGTTTTAAGGAAGAAGGAACAAAGCTACTCCCAGCCCTGGGCTCCCGAGGGGAGAAAGGCCTGCCCCATCCACACACACGCCTGCTACAGGGAATCTTCACAGGAGCTACTGGGGCCCCTGGGGTCACGCCCGGCAGACACCGGACCCGGAACATTCCACTACAAAGCGGAGGGTGGCCGTGCCAGAGGGGGGTCGGGGAGCCTTCCTTCCAGCAGCCCCCCACCCGAGGCAGCTGTCATTGCCACTGGGAACACCAGCTGCCTGGCCCGCATGGGGAGGGAGAAACCCAGCTCCTTCAGACGAGCACTCGGAGTGTTTACAGCACGGCTCCATCGTCACGACCAGGCGGGCCCAGCACACCAGAGGGACTCCGTGGCAGGTCTCTCCAGGCAGGGCCCCGGCCTCTCACCTGCCTCTCTGCTTCCTTCAGCAGGCTCCGGAATCGCTCGTCCCGCAGCACCCAGTGGGGGAGGTCCGTCTGGCCCCGGAGCTGCGCGTCTTCTAGCCGCTGCCTCAGTTCACGCAGGGTGCAGATCTCCTCGTTCAGCTGCCTCTGCCGCGTTCGGGAGGCCTGGAGATCCAGCTCCAGGTCCAGGGAGGTGCGGGCCATGAGCTCGGCCAGGGAGGACCTGCAGGGCTGCGGGAGACGGCAGCTGTGAGCACACACGCTGGGCCGGCACCGGGGCGCCGCGGCCGTCTGCGAGGTCCTTCCACAACGAATGGGGACGGGTGTCTCTCTACGTGTGGCCGGTGTCAACCAGATTTGGGCGAGATTAAGTCTCCAGTTCAATATCAAGTTAGTGACGCCAATGGTCTGCTTTAATGGTGACCCGTGCGCGTTTGCAAAAGTGGGGAGAAAGAGACCATCCCACATGGAGCTGGTGGGGTCAAAAACGGGTATAACCTTACAAGTAAGTAAATAAAGAATGGGTACAATCTTTCTGAAGTTCTACTTGACAATACACATCAAGCCACGCATTTTCTTTGGCTCTGAAATTTCATTTTGACTTGCCTTTGAAAGGCACAACTCATGACATGCAAAAGTGATGCAATTCAAGTTCAGGACAGAGAAAACCTAAATATATAACAAGAGAAAACGGATTAAGTGAATTATAAGGTCAGCATAAAATACAGCCACTGTAAAAAGTAGAAAAAATATACTGGAAAATCTTAAATGATCCATGGTATAAAGGGGGAAAAGCATGTCGCAAGCCCTCTGAGTGCTTTTTGTTTAAGATTATACATTCACTACACACAAGCTGTCAAAACCTTTCCTCCCCATATGAGCCTCAAGTAAGCAAACCTGCCATGTGTAAGAAAACTAAGATGAGAGAAGACTTTTTTGTGTGGCGCTGAGAACAGTTACTTCCCATCCAAAGGGAAACGACCTCAGGAAAGGCAGTTACTGTAACACACACCAGCGTTGCTCAGTGCGCTGGATAACTGTAGGCTTTTTACACACACGTGACACTATTCTGCCCACGTACGGAACTGGAATGCAAAGATATGGTACGATTTAAGAAGTACAAGTTCACTTAAAAGCACTGCTCAATTCATAGCAGAGCTCGGCGGTTCTCAACCAGGGATGACTTGGCCCTCCAGGGGGCGCTGGGCAGCGTCTGGAGACACGTTTGGCCGTCACAAGGTGGGGGGGGGGGGCGCGCAGGGCAGTCCCCACAACAGTGACCCAGTCCGAGGTGTCAACAGCGCTCTAAACACAGGCAGCACACAGACAGTTGGATCTACTACTATCTCTTTAAAAGAATCTTAGCCTGAAAAAGACAAGGAACTACTCGCTTACAAACAGAAAGCAGCAAAACTCTGTAAACTGACACCGTGTGGAGGAAACACTCGCTGGGTAAAGTAAATGCAAGCAGCAGGACAGGCCTTTGCAGAAGACTGCTCTATGCTGAAAAGCACCAATTTCTCAACTATACATACTCCCTCGTCAAAAGAGAGTCTTCTGTATAGGTTGGTTGGCTCTTTGTTAATTTATGATATTTAAAAAGGTAAAGATCATGAATTATCTCAGATCATGATGTTATCCTAGGAAATTAAGAGTGGTAACATTTTGACATTACGCTTCTGAGAATTATACCTCGATAAGGAAATAAATACCTTTTTAAAAAACAAACATATTACCTTTAAATTAATGTTACCTAAAATACTACCTTCTAAGTTCTGTAAAAACAGCTCCCAGGCTAAGTCCAGGCTCCGTATTAGTTTACGTGGCACGCACCTGCTTATAGCGGAGGGTCCGTCTTTCCAGGGTGTTTCGGACAAACGGGGACTTCCGGGGCAGCGTCGAACTGTCGCTGTCACTACGATAAAGCTGTGCCAAAAAGAATGATGTTCAGAAACACTTTCTCAGAAGTGCAATCTTCATTCTCTCTGCGTAGCTGAACTGCGTGACTTCACTTCTCCTCACGGGGACCCAAACGCACGGACAACAGCTGGCACGTCTACCAAGCCTTCTGGTCTCAGTGAGGACGCAACGTCCCCCACGCCAAGCACCAAGTAAAACTAAAGACAACCCGGAACAGACCAAATAAGCAAACCGACCCCCCACCGCCCTCCACGTTACACGTCCTCCTCATTCGCTCTGTTCCTGGCTTTGCCAAGAGCTGGGGAACAATGACTTTCCAAAAAGAGACCCCGCTCCTGGTAGGAGGACAAGCCAGCGGCACTGACACCCACTCTGCCGTCGAGGGAAAAGGTCTGCGTCTAAAAAGACAAAGAAGTAACGCCTTCTTTATGGGAGCCAAGACCTTCGGCGGCGGCTTCTTGCTTCTGGATCAAAGCGTATCTGTGGGAAAGGCAAAGTCCTTGCCTTCGTGGCCTTCTTTTCCACGCCAACTAACCCCAAATACTCCGGAAAGGCCAGGGCACGGCGGCGTATACGCGCCCTCCCTCCAGCGTGACCGACAGGTAAGAACGAAGAAGCCTCTCCCAGCGTCCCCCGGACATGCATGCTCTTACACGCAGGGCACAGAACCCGCACAGGAGCCGGACACCTTCCTCTGGGGAGGTAGAGGACTTCCTCCTTCCCTGCACCGCCCTTCTCACCCAGCGGACCCGAGCCCACTCGGTGGTGGGTCGGCAACAGCCCACAGTGGGGAAGGGACCTGAGGGCAGCCCTGGGTCTGGCGCCTCCGGGTAGGTGTCTGGTTAAGCACGAGCCCCCACGGGGCTGCAGCCTCATGGGGCGGGGGTGCCCGAGCCGGATGCCGTGGGACCCAGGGCAGCCACGACGGGACACCTGGCTTCTGTGGGGAGACGCGCAGCAGGTCTTGCAAATGGCCCAGGGGCAGCTTGGGACCCCCCACTCCCGCCGTGGGATAAAGGATTAACCTTGCTCCAAGAAAGGTTTGGTCCTTGCCCAGCTCCTGGGAAGTGACCCGTGACCCCCTGGGATGTCCTGCCTGAGTGTCTCTGTTTACCTGGGGACCTCGAGCCAGGCCACACAGTCTCTGCTAACAATGTGACTTATAGCGGGGGCCTTAGGCCATCAGCTTGACCTCTAGAGACGAAGGTCAGGCATGCAGGCAGTCAGCTCTGCCTGTGTGACCAACCTTCCACAAAACCCCCGGTTGGCAATACTCCACGCGCGCAGCCTCTCCCAGCAGTGACAGGTGACCAGACCATCCGCACAGTCCCGCTGGAAGAGACCCGGAGGCCTGCGGCAGGTCTCTCCTGAGTGCTGCCCGACGTGCCTCTTCCCTCTGCTGACCTTGGTCTACGTCCTTTCACCGTAATAAACCACAACAGTGAATCTAACGGCTTTGCCGAGTTCTGTGGGTCCCAGCAAGTTCCTGACCCTGAGCACGGGCCAGGGGGCCCCTGAACCATACTCCCGGTGTCTCTAGCACACGTCTGAGCCCCTTTCTCTCGTATGACTCAGCTTTGGTTTTGCCCAACCAGAGCCAGCTCCTTGGCAGTCCCCGTCAAGGGAAGGGGCTTTACTTCAACGAGCCCAGTTCGGAGGCGGGAAGGGTCAAAGCTCTCCTCGATCCAAACAGCCCCGTCAGGCCACTGTGTCGTGACCATTTACCCTTCCAACTGCCTTCTCTGTCCGAATCCGTCCTGTCACCGTCACACAAACACTGCCAGCCAACCTCCAACCTCCGTCCTATCCTCAAGGACCGCAGCGGGGTTCTCCGCAGCAGAAGCACCAGGGCTCTTCCCCAAGCTCTGACGTCCAGGCCCCACCCTGACCCGCAGTGAACCTTGGGGGTGGAACCCAGGCACCAGCATTCTGTGAAGCGCCCGCCTCCACGACTTCACTGCACGGTACAGCCCAGGCTGAGAACCACGCGACGTCTCCTGCCATCACCTTGGGGTGAGAATTTACGGGCTGGGGGGTCAGAACCCTGTCTCAGTGCCCCGAGTTTTCAAGGCTGCCGTCCGCCCTGGGACCCAGCTAAGCTGCACTTCAGGACTTCGGACCACTCAGTGGCCTGACTTAACAATTTCCACCCAATTCAGGATATTCCCTGTTCCAACCTGTTACTCCTACTCGCCCTGCTTCCTGAACATGAGTTGGTACACATACAAACTGAAAATCCGGGGAGAAATGTATCAGAATCTTGAAGAAATCCAGAGTGAGATAGGCATGGGCGAGGGGTAGATGGGCCACCATACCGATCGCATAGCCCCCCGTGCGGCTGCGCATTATCGGCACTTGGGGGAACACACAGGTCTTTCAGCGTGAACAGTAAAAATAAAACATGACAAAGGGGAAAAAAAAAAAAAGAAAACGTTCCAGTCAAGAGGCAAAGGAATTTCAACTTACTCTGCAAACGTACTGGCTTCGTGCCCCAGGGGAGAAGGTCTGCGAACGCACAATTGTGCTACTCCGAACGAAAGGCGACCCGCGAGCCCTGCGGCTGGGCCTCTCCTTCGGAAGACTCGCTACTTCTTCTGGGAAGACATCTTCTGTGTTGGTTTCTTTATCGACCTAGAGAGTAGTTCATTATTACCACGACTTTTTCTAGAACATGAGCAATAAGCTTCACATGAACCTCCCTGGTCTTTTCCACTCAGAGTTCTAACTGGCATTTCACGCTGATGTCCAAAACGATTTTTGATATTCCTCCCCGCTACACACGCATCTCCTCCTACAAGAATCATCTCTACTCTCCAATTGTTCGTGCCAAAAAAAAAAAAAAAAAAAAAATCTTCGTGCCATCCTGGACTCTGCTCTCTTTCGTACACACTGTATGTAGTCCGAGACCAAATCCTACTGGCTCCAGGTTTATGATGAAGCTTGTTTTTTGTTTTTTTTTTTAAAGATTTTATTTATTTATTTGACAGAAAGAGAGAGAGAAAGCACAAGCAGGGGGAGCAGCAGAGGGAGAAGCACGCTTCCCCCTGAGCAGGGAGCCCGATGCGGGGCTCGATCCCAGACCTGAGCCGAAGGCAGATGCTTAACTAACTGAGCCACCCAGGTGCCCCATGAGGACGCATGCTTTGACCACTTTTCATCAGACTTCCCTTTGGGTCACCATCATCTCATGCCCAACTGGCACAGGAAGCTTTCGGCCGGTCTCCCCAATTCCACATCTCCTTCCCCCCCTTCAGTCTCTTCTCAATCCAGCAACACGGGAGATCCTGGTAAAGCTGAAGTTAGACCCAGCAATTCCACTCCTAGACATTCACTCAAGATAACTGAAAACGGGTGTGCAAACAAATACTTGCACGCAAACATTCACAGCAGCGTTATTCATGTAGCCAAAAGGTAAAGACAGTCCGAATGTCCATGCATAGATGGATGGATGAACAAAGGGAGGCATACCAATCAAGGAAATACTACTCAGCCATGAAACAGAGAGAAGCTCCCAGAACAGGCAAATTCCTAGGCAGAAAGCAGATCGATGGTTGCCAGGGGCTTGGGGAGTGACAGTCTCATAGGTGCGAGGCTTTACTTAGGGATGATGGAAATGTTTCAGAACTAGACAGAGTGGTGGTTGCCCACATTGTGAACATACTAAATGCCCCTGAACTGTTCACTGTGAAATAAGTTCACTTCATTTTCTATAAATTTCATGCCAAAAAATTATTTTAGAAAAGGAAAAATCATGGGGCGCCTGGGTGGCTCAGTTGGTTAAGCGTCCAAATCTTGATTTCAGCTCAGGTCATGATCTCAGGGTCATGAGATCCAGCCCTGTGTTGGGCTCTGCACTCAGTGTGGAGTCTGCTTGGGCTATTCTCACCCTCTCCCCCCACCGCCCCACCCACTCGCATGCACACTCTCTCAAAAAAAAAAAAAAAGAAAGAAAGAAAGAAGGAAAGAAAAATCCACGGAAAACCTTAAGTCAGATCACGTCAACCCTGGGCTCAAAACCACCCACCACTTTCCCAATCATCTCAGAGAAAAGGGAGAGTCTGGAGTGGGCCCTACATGATTTGGTCTTTTCCCTTCCCTCTATCATTGGCTCTGACAACCCCCTGCCCCACACTGGTCTCGCTGCTGTTCTCTCATCAGTCCCCCCACACCCCCACCTGTGGGCCTGCACTTGCAGCTCTCTGTACCTGAATGCTCTTCCCCAGCCCCGCACAAGGCTCCTGAGACTCCTGCCTTAAGGCTTCTGCTCAAAAACTGCTTTCTCAGTGAGGCTTCCACGACCTTTCATTCTTTTTCATTGTAAAAAACACATAAAATTTACCTTAACCATTTTTCAGTGTATAGTTCAGTAGTGTTCAATATATTCACATGGTTGGGAAACAGAGCTCTAGAACTTTTTCATCTTCCCAAACTGACTCTGAGCCCATGAAACAACTCCCCATCCTCCTGTCCCCTACCGACCACCTTTGTACTTGCTGTCCATATGAATCTGAATACTCTAGCGACCTCCTGTATGTGGAATCACGCAGTATTCGCCCTTCCGTGGCTGGCTTATTTCACTTAGCACAATGTCTTTAAGGTTTGCCTATGTTGTAGAATGTAAGAGGATTTCCTTCCTTTTTTTTTTTTTAAAGATTTTATTTATTCATTTGAGAGAGAGAATGAGAGACAGAGAGCATGAGAGGGAGGAGGGTCAGAGGGAGAAGCAGACTCCCTGCCGAGCAGGGAGCCCGATGCGGGACTCGATCCCGGGACTCCAGGATCATGACCTGAGCCGAAGGCAGTCGCCCAACCAACTGAGCCACCCAGGCGCCCCCTTTTTAAGGCTGAATGATATTCCACTGTATGGACAGACCACCTTTTCCTTATCCATTCATCCGAAGATGGACTCTCGGGGTGCTTCTATCTCTAGGCTATCCTGAATAATGCTGCTAGGAACATGGGCGTGCAAATACTTGGAGACCCTCATGTCCATTCTTTTGGATATATCCAGAAGTGGGATTGCTGGATCACACAGGAGTTCTATTTTTAAATTTTCTTTTTTAAGATTTTATTTATTTATTTGACAAAGAGAGACACAGCGAGAGAGGGAACACAAGCAGGGGGAGTGGGAGAGGGAGAAGCAGGCTTCCCGCCGAGCCGGGAGCCTGATGTGGGGCTCGATCCCAGGACCCTGGGATCATGACCTGAGCTGAAGGCAGACGCTTAAAAACTGAGCCACCCAGGCGCCCCTTATTTTTAAATTTTTGAGGAACCTCCATGCTGTTATCCATAGAAGCTGCACCGCTTTACGATCCCGATCTAAAATATAAGTGCAAACCTCTATTTCTAAATATAAACCCCTTCTAAAATAGGAAATCTTTCTAAAAACGCAAACCCCACCTTCCCTACCATCTAGTCCTCCAGCAGCCCCTCTTCTCAAGCCTGCTGTGTTTTCCTGAGTGATGCTGTTGCCTGCCTCCTCCTGGAGGGCAGGATTTCCCGTTTATTTTCTTCACTGTTGCATCTGCACGGCCTAGCGCCTACCCACGTGCGCACGCAAAGAGAGAACACAAACGTGGTCAAGAACGAACAGCTGGGGAGCTCCAGTGAAGGGCATGTGGGTATTTGTTCTATTACTCTAGCAACCTGTCTGTAGATCTGAAGTATTTCAAAATTAAAATCGGGGGTGGGGGTGGGGGTGGGGATGACGACAACACACCAAACTCGCCTCCCACAGCCCCCTCCCCCATTTGAGCCCATGCTTTTAAAGGTCTTAAAACGCTGACCACCAGCAACCACTGGGAGGCTGGGCCACAGAACAGCTCCTTTAGAGGGGTCGCACGCACGTGTGCAGCTTGGGAAGCTGACGCCACGTCTCTCGGGACTTGTGCTTTGGGGTGACAGTGGGGCCCATGGTGATAAAACGTTTCGAGGAGTTGAACAGTTTGGGAAAAAACTTTCCATAGAGCATGGATTCAGTGTCTCCCAACCTCACAGGCTTCATCAGACTCTGTCACGGCAAACATGAAAGACTTCCTCGCTGAAGATGTGGCCGTGAGCACAGCTAAGATTGGGTGAACAGAAGGGGCGAAGGGGCACTTTGTAGCGCCTAATGTCGCAAAGGGAGCAAAGAGATGAGACACTTCCAAGCGATCACACATGAGACCTCCTGAGCCGTACGGGGCCCTGAAGATGGGAACAGGCCATCACCGGGAAACATGGAGTACCAATCTGCCCTTTCTAGCTGTAGCTGTCTTTTTTCTTTTTTTTTAAATTTTATTTATTCATTTGAGACACAGAGATACAGAAGGAAAGAGAGAGCATGAGAGCAGGGGGAGAGGCAGACAGAGAGGGAGAAGCAGGCTCCCTGCTGAGCCAGGAGCCCGATGCGGGGCTCGATCCCAGGACCCTGGGATCATGACCTGAGCTGAAGGCAGACGCTTAACCATCTGAGCCACCCAGGCGCCCCTTTCTTTTCAATTGAGAGTGGAGAGACATGTCTATGGTACCTGCTGTGCCCATTTTGAGCCATTTACAGACTCAGCCCTTCCCTTCCTTCCCTCGGCTCTCCGTGAAATGCCCCCTTGTCTATGGCCCCCCGATCCGACAGCACGGTCCATTTCCCACCACACCGTCACCACGGTCACGGTCACGGGGAGTGTCTGCAGGTAAGCCACACCGTTCTACTCTCGCACTGGAGCCTGTCAGCTTCATCTCGTCCGTCTAGTCCACCCACCCCCTCCCGTCTCACGTGGGGGGCGCACACGCCCTCCTTCCAGGGCCGTGCCCGGGGTTGGGCGGCAGAACATCAGGGGGCCCCAGAAGCCCCCTGACCGTTTCCACTTACCTTCAGAGGTGGAGGCTGAAGTTTCTTGGGGCTGTAGGGATCGGCCTGGCCAGCAAATGCGTGTCCATGGAGGGGGTCGACGCCAACGCAGCAGGGCTCCGGGTGTGGGGGGCTGGTCTGGGCGCAGCTGCTGCAGCCGCTGTCCACGGAGTCGGCCTGCCAACTCCTAAAGGCAGACATTGCAAAAACCCACAACACGTGTGTCCAGGTGGCCTTCTTTCCCTTCCTCTTCTCTTCCCCAGCTTCTCCAGTCCACCCTGCCTTCTGTTCTCTATCAGGAATTCTCCAGTGCACTGTACTAGTGTGTAGTGGAGCCCATGCTAACAGTTCTCCGGGATTTCGTGTTTTGCATTTTGTGGATCCTTCCCTTTGCTCCTCCTCCCGTGCATAAAACGTTCTGCCTACCCTCCACTGAATTTGGTAAAAACCCCTCGCCAGAACTACAGTGTCACAAAAATAAAGTACACTGTTCCTTACAAAACTGAAAAAAACCAAGTGCGCGTCACGCGAGCGGGTGCCCTGCCGCACGCCACGCACGGCCGCGGACGCACCCAACGGGACCCACGTGCTGCCCACGACCGCACACAGGCGCTCTTCCCATCAAGTCAAAGGGCCTGTTTTCTAGGGGACACCACGTGACAGGGCCTTCAGTTAGACGGTCTGTGTGTCCCCACCAGCCAGCTGCAGCTGCTGAAGAGGTCAGCATCCCGAGCCCTGGCTCCCAGCCCCGCCCGGCTTCCCGCCAGTCCCCGAATACCATACTCCACCCCTCGGCCATGCCCTTTCCCTCCCTGCAGCAAATTCAGGCAAAGGTATTCAGAAGCGGCGGGAAGCTGTGGAAACAGGACGCTCTTCGTGGAAAAACGTGGAAGTAAAGCAGTACCACGGTGCCTGCAGAAGGGATCAGACAGCAGTCCGTTCCCTCGAGGCGCTCGCCCATCTACTCTACGCGGCCGCCGCTGCAGGGCGGCCTCTACCGAGCGCAGGCTTGGCCGACGGGCCGCTTCGGGTACCTCTCGGACACGGCCTCGGCGAGCTCCTCCTTCCGCTCCATCTCGAGGACCTCGTCCTCCGTGTACTCCAGCTTCACCCGCTCCTCGGCCAGCTCGCGCTCCACGGCCTGCAGCTGGGCTGTGGTTCTGGCCAGCAGCGCCGTCACCGCGTCCTGCGGGGGGGACAGGGGCGCCCCTGAGCCGTGGCTGGCCGCCCTCGCGGGCTCTCCAGGGCCAAGAAGCGCACGCCGCGTGCCAGCAGGACGTGGCCGGCCCACCTCGTGCAGCTCCGAGGGCGCAAACGTTAAAACCACCCGTGTGTCGCTCGCCTGCATTAAAGCCACCGTCACGAAGGGCCATATGCATCGAGGCCTCCCGCTCCCGTGCCTCCCCTTGAACCTGCCCCTCGGGCACCGCTACGCTCCCACACTAAGTGTGCGGAGACGCTCGTGAGAGACGAAGCCCCGTGACAGCGGGCGGCGGCGGCGGGAGAGGAGGGCACACGTACCGTCTTTCCCACGGCGGCAGCTTGTGCGGGGTCCCCGGCGGCACCCCCCGGCTGCTCGCTCTCCCTCGCCCTGGGCGGCCCGCAGCTGCTGAACACCTGCACCGCGTACCAGCGCAGCTGCATCTCGCTGGACCCGTCGTAGTCGGCCAGGTTGATCTGAGCAATGCCCTGCGCGAGTGTTTAGGGGGGAAAAAAGGCAGAACTGAATGATTTCACCTTAACAACCAAGGGGAATCTTCTAAAACATCAAGGTGGCCCTTCAGTCGTAACCGGAAAGGCAGAATGTGTCATTGCTCTTCAAAGGACTGCAGTAAAATGAAAGTGGTAGCAGAGGATCTTCTTGAGGCTCCTGGCCCGCTGCTTCGGCCCCATGGGGAGGTGCCAGGAGGGGGACAGGGGCAGAGAGTGGACAACCTGGGGGTGGGGGTGGGAGGTCAGGCTCAGGGTCTGCCCACTGATGAGCTGTGGAGTCGCTCAGGGATTTCTGAAACAAGACAGGGCTGGCTGAACGCCACCATCTAATTCTACTGCCAGGGGTGAGACCAAGGGGAGAAATTCCAACCTCACAAAGAAACCATCCTGGTTTCCAAGTCATGGCCCCGGCCAGTGCATGGTTGGGGCACTGAACACAAGCTGCTCATGGTCTTAGTTCAAGGAGTACCAGATAAAATACAGAGCAGCCAGTAAATGTGAACTGCAAATAAACAATGGATTTCTTTAAAGCATTAAGTATGTCCCAAATATTGCATGGGACATACTTATGTTAAAAAAGAATCCATAGTTTATTTGAAATTCACATTTAACTGACCATCCTCTACTTTGATTTGCCCAATTTCTCAACCCCACTTAGTTCCCTCAACTGGAAGCAATATAGGGCAATACGGAAGTCTTGCAAGTATTAGTTGAGATAATATATTTAAAGTACAGTGTACCTGGCAAGACAAATCCCTTTCTGTACTCCCAGCTACAAAGATTGCTTCACATGATGACAATTTCTAAGCAACCCACCACAGGAAAAAGGCAGGAGGGGAGGGAGGGTAGGAGGGAGACAGGAAGGAATGAGGGGAGGGAGAGACCAAGACAAAGAAGAGAGAGAGGCAGGCAGAAAGATAAAGAAGACAAAAACAAAGAGAGGACAAAAGATGGAGCGACAAGAAAGAATGAAACACACACAAAAAAGGCAGGAAGACAAGAAGAGAAGGGACAGGAGAGAGACAAAGACTGATCGGAACACAAAGAAAGGAAGGGGGGGGAGGAGAGCAGAAAGGAAATGGGGGGAGGAGGGAGAGAGGGGGAGGGAGGAGGAGGGACATACCAGCAGTTCTTCCTGCAGCTGCTGATTCACTGAACATATATATAATTGAAGTGACTTCAACGTCAACATGCTTGAATGCACAGGGATTCTGAAAATTTCATTAAATACCAGGGGGGCCTGGAATTCCAGAGCCTTAGAGCAGTAAGTGTTTGGGGTGCCAGAGTCGATCGGCGGCAAATAGACGCGGATGTGTCTGGAACCAGAAAGAGGGAAGAAAAAAACAGAGGTGACACTTACTGACAGATCTGTGCGAAGAAATGCATGAACCACACACACGTATATACATGTATGTTTCCCTGTTCGGATGCCCACGGGCAGAACCTTAAAGTCTTTTGGAAAAGGTCCTTTTCTCACCTAAGAGTAAGCCCAAAGAATTTACGTGCCCCTGGAGATCAGGAGGGAAAAACGCTCACAAAGAGAAAGGCTCACAAGTCAGTAGTTATGACTTTGGAAGGAGTCAAACAGGTCCTGCTTTCACCAGCTTTTTGGGAAGCCACCTGCACCGATCTCTCCGTGGCCTCCTGGCTCCCTCTTCAAGCTCTGCCTGCCTCGCCTCCAAGACCATTCACACCAGCCTGGGCTTCCTGCCCTGTCCACTCTCAGCAGGGAACAAACGAGAAGCTCAAACGCTGGTGAATGCCGCGAAGGACGCCATCAGGGTGAGCAAAATCCCAGGGTGAGCCCTCAGCCACTTACAACCGGGTTGCTCCCAAGGCCTTTGGCCAGGGCCCTCTTTAGAGGACAAGTTTGTAAAGACTCATGCAAGGGGACTGCACCCTTGGGCTTGAATGGCCCGACTGGCATGCTCTTCGCCTGGCGAGTGGGACCCGCTGGGCAGCCGTCTTGGGCCACGGAGCTCACAGAGGTCGCGCCCTCCAAAGGCAACAACGCAACTTTCCTTCCCCTTCGCTCAGACAAGGGCCCCTGGTCCCGGCGAGAAGCCTCTCCATGCACTTCGCAGGATCACAGAGCGGAGCGCCACTAATCAGCCACTCTTCTTAAAACTTCCAATCCGGTCTATTCAGACACCGCCCGGTATCTTATCAGGAATAAACTTTGGACCTCAGGTTCCCAAACGGGCTTTGCCCTCCCGCAAGTGCCGAGCAGAACAGGTGAGCGAGCCGCGCCGTGCGCAGGCGGCCCAGGAGCTGCCACCGCGGGCCAGGGGTGGTCCCCGGGTCCCCGAGGCAAACCGCTGCCGCCAAGCCAGCTTACATCTTGCAGTCTTCCTTCATGACCAGCCCCGCAAAATTCTTCAGTTGGAGCACGTTCACAAGAAGACACTCGCCGGCGCTGTCGAGCCTAGGAAATGAAAGAGAAGCTCGTAGGCTGCGCACCCCCCGCAGCGGGAACCTCCTGGCGCCTGACCTCGAGCAGCGGCCCTCAGCTGCGCACGCTCCGTGCGGCCGCGGACAGAGGCAACTCCGGGCCGGCTGTGCGGCCACTGCCCAGGGCGTCCCGTGCCCCCTGCGTACGGCCCCGGGAGCCCAGCTCCATGAGGGGACAGCTGCCACCGTGACCCTCAGTGCTGGGGGGACAGCAGTGGAGCCGCTCTTCCCCAGGCCTCCTTCCCGCCACCTCTGTCCCCTCACGTGAGCCACCGAAGCGGGCAGGGAGGGGGTATCCAGGCCGGGAGCGCCACCCAGACCGTGGGGGTCCCCGCATCCCTCCCGGCCTGCAAGTGTGGGTCACTGGGTGGGCGCCGAGCTACAGATCATCTCTAGGAGCGACAGGGTAGGGGTGGCCTGTACTCACAAAAATCCAACGTGGATCTGGGGCCCTTCATTCCCACAAGCGTCTCCGTGTGCAGACTCGTCAGTATCCTCACTCCTGAACAAACCGGAAAGTCACCGGGGTTAGTCCCCCGGGAGCCGATGACTGCCGCTTTGGCAGAAGCTCTCTCGTGCTGGGGCACTTCTTACCGAGAAGAGCTTTCTTACGTTGCGACTTAAATAAATTCTTCATGTGACTGAAAGGACACAGCAGGCCCACGACACACCTCCGTGGGTACCTGCCTACAAAGTGCTGTTGGTTTTGAGAAAATGACTCGGGACACCTTTCAAAACCACATGCGCTGCTCAGGACAAACTTCCAAACTAACTCTTAAACCATTTGCAGTAAGTGAGATGTCTGACAGACACCTGAAAGGAAACAATGACATCAAACTTACCAAACCGAAATAAAGCCCAGAATCCCAAAAGGTGTTTTGCCGTTACAAAGTGATTCCTCTAGCTTAGGAAAGAGGGGAAGGAGGGAGAACATTCAGTTCTAATGAATGCCCTTTCTAGAAAGGCAGGTCTCTCTTAACCACTGGCTCTCCTTTCCCAGCTCTCATGGGCTTAGGCCTTCGAGTGACCAGGGCCAGACAGGAGGAAGTCATCCTCGAACCACGGAAGGAGGGCCAACCTCCAGACGCCGCACAGAAGCCAGAGGAGTTTTCTTGGCGGGTTGCTAAGGCCCAACCTACCAAAGTTGAGAGAAGCCAGGAAGAGATTCTAGCCTTGGAGACACACACAGTTTCAATATGCACAAGTCCCAGTATGCATATATTTTGTGCTTAACAGCAACACCGTGGGAAGTCTGCTGAGGGAGAAGATCAGCTTCTAACCTTTTGGTCGGAGGCTCAAATACCCCGCTATCGCTGGCTAGCGAATAATCCGACAGGCATGCAGACACTCGGCGCGCTCTCCTCTCCAACCTCTTGGCACTGTCTTCTCGAAGAGTCACTGCTATAAACAAGAGACACACCTGGGGTCAGGAGGTGACAGCATGGGAGGCCGGGGACCGTGAGGCCAAGAAATGAACACTCTAGGTTACAGCACATACAGAGTTACTAAGTGCTCCAGAGACACGCCATTATATAGACATACATCATAGATACATGCGTATGTTTCAATATGCTGCACTCACAATTTTTTTTTAGTATTGAAAAATTGAAGAAATAGACTTCTGGCTACTTCTTTAAAAGCTCCTTACTTTAAAAAAGTTTTTTTTAAAGATTTTATTTATTTATTGGACAGAGAGTGAGCACAAGCAGGGGGAGCGGCAGGTGGAGGGAGAGGGAGAAGCAGGCTCCCCGCTGAGCAGAGAGCCCCACATGGGGCTCGATCCCAGGACCCTGGGATCATGACCTGAGCCAAAGACAGATGCTTAACTGACTGAGCCACCCAGGCGCCCATAACAGCTCTTTGGACAGTCACAAATCTCTCTTCACCTCCTTAATGAGCACAAAGAACAGAAGATGATGGGGGGGACGCCCCTTCATGTCACACTTTGGGAAAGACCATCATCCCTGAAAGACCGGGAAAGAAAGGTTACCCCAAATGCAGACAGCCCCTGTTACCTAAACGTATGCGAGTGGTAGGTAGGGGTATTTTTCATTTCCTTCTTTATGCTGCTTGGTATTTCCCATATTTTATACAATAAACATATACTCTATATTTTTCAGGAAAAAAAAATTTGTTTTAATTATCCAAATAAACCCTAACAAGACGTGGTGACTTTCAAGTCAGAGGACACAGCTGATCCCCGACTCAGCCTTTGGAAACAGCTCCTCTGCAGCATCCTCCCAGCAGCCCTGGGGCCAGATTTGCTTCTAAAATTGCTTTCCTGCGGTTAGCAAACTACCGTTACTAGGCAGCTTATTTTTGCCTTGTAGCTCTTTTAATCGAGAGCCGAAAATAGCCGTCGACATTTTTCCTTTTAGCATTTCATCCACTGTCTTTGCTCCTTCCCTCACAAGTTCCTTTTCACAGAGCCAATAAAAGCAGGCACACCATCCTCCCGTGCTAGGTGTGAATGCGGACGCGGGAGTCTCCACGCTTTCCAGAGAGGCAGACTCGGTGAGAAGACAGAAATTAAACATGGAGCCCCAAACTGAGCCTTCCTCTGACATCGTGATCCCTTTTGTTAACAGCGCGGGTCCCTCCGTCCTCTTTGTGCTTCTCTTCGGCCATCTACGCTCCGAACACAAAACTCTAGGCACCTGTGCATCCCTACGTTGAGGGAAATGTCCAGGCCACTGATGACCAGCTCGCTTTTCAACCAAATCATTATCCACACGCCGATTAAATCCAAACACGCTAGACAACATACAAACAGACGGAGCTGTGGTCTCTGGTCTCACGATCTCAACTGCAGACAAAAGCTGTCCTTCCAAAGGTCTGCGGTGCCAAGCGTGGGCACCTACAGGCTCCTCCCTGGCCAGGGACCGAAGCTGGCTCCATTCTGGGGTGGCTGGAGGCGCGGACTCTCGAAGTCCAGCACTTCTTGTCACTCCTGCCACATGGGAGGACCCAAAGCCCCCAGCTCAGAATCGCAGAAGGAAGCCGTTTGTTGCATGGATCTCTGGCCAACGAAGCCGCTCCCTATCTCCATCCCTAGCCCTGACCCTCAGCCCGGCTCCTAGGCCCAGCCTTGCATTCCTTCGAGGAAATACCACCAAGCAATGATCCCAAGCACTTCCGGTGAACCCGACGGTGCAACGCTCACAACGTTTCTCTCTCACTGCAATGGCCGTCTCGGAGGAGAAAAAGGAAAGGAAGGAATTAATCCTCAGTGATCCCAGGCTTAGTTACTGCATTCACGGAGTAAGTCGCACCTGGCAGCAGGTGTCGGAAGGGAGTATGATCAGCAGTTGCCCTGGGTAAGAAAAAGCGCACAGCATATCCCACGCTGCACCCCCTGCCATCTGCCCCGGGGCTTCAAGACGGCGAGATGGAGCACGGCGGGGGTGGGGGCGATGGGGTGGGGGGGTGGGGGGGCAATGCCAGGGAGGGAAGGAATAAACAGTCCTCCAAACATTCATTTTAAAAAGCTCTGATCTTTCCATCATTAAAGACAGACAGACAGACACTGAGACCTGAGGACATCAGCACTGCTTGACGAAAAGAAAATATAATGAAAATCACATTTTGGGCAAAGCTGCCAGTTGGCATATAGTAAAATAATAAAAGCCACTGAAGTCTGGGAAAAAATACAGAGGAATAAGTACTTCCAGCTTTTAGAAAAGTTCTTGTACAACTTTAGTGGCCATAAGTATTAATGCTGAAATAATAATAATAACAACAATAATAATAATGGTAAGTAGCGAGCTACATTAAAGTACAACTATGCGATATGCCCTTCTTGGCCACACCCCTCCCGTCCTGAACACACTGATTCACTACACAAAGATGTGCCTGCTGCCTGACCAACAAGGTGAAGGATTCCAAGTCACTTACAGTGAACGTTTCTGTCGAGCCGCATGAGAAAGGAGATAAAGAAAAAAAGCACAAAGTGAAAAAACTGCAGAATTTAAGCCAACGATTTTAAACAGAGTATGAGTATCATAAAAACGTCAATAAACGGATGAACTAAATCAAGGCTTTCCCAGATTTAGATTAGCAAATACTAATGGGAAATGAAAATAGGAAAAGATTTCAAAAATCATGACACATTTGGCTTTTTTTCAAGATTTTATTTTCAAGTCATCTCTCCACCCAACGTGGGGCTCGAACTCACAACCCCGAGATCAAGAGTCGCACGCTCCCCGGACTGAGCCAGCCGGGTGTGCTGACACATTTGGCTTTTAAAATCCCAGAAAGATTTGTCCCACCTTCTCTGCCTCCACAGATCGATTTAAAACACAGTGGAAGAAATTATTCCTAGAGCTTCCTTCGTAGGTTTGGGCAATTTTGAATTTCAGCTTACTACAATTTTATCTTTCTAAAACTTGCCGGAGGTCAAACTTAGACTGTGCTGTTCCTAAGGAAACTAGAAAGTCAGGGGGAACTACATGACGGCAGGCATCGTAAACGAGGGGTGGAGTAACATAAGGAGTACAAAGATCCCTGATGACTCTAGGCTCAAGTGTTCCCACAAACATCAAGAGAGGCAAGAAGTCACTCTGTGTCCACGCCTGAAGCTGGTTACCCAATCCAGCCTTCTGGGAGCACCCACCAGGACCAGCGCATTTACGGAGTTAATTATTTCGAGTTTATAAAGACCCAAGTCTACTGACACTGTCATACAAGAATTGACCACGAGGTGGCAGTACCTGAACGTAGCATAACCAAATACCTCCCAGCCTAAGGAGTCTGAACCATTATAATGTCAGCCAGAGTGGGAAGAAAAAAGTAAAGAAATCAGGACCAGAAATTAAGTCAGCTCTTCTCCCTCTCATCCTGTTTTTCCCCTGGCCCAAAAGGGCTCTTGGGCCTTGGGATTTTCTGCCTAATGAGACTGATATTCTTGTGTCTCAGCCTTTAAAGACAGGCGGGCAGGGAGGCGAGGCATTGAGGGCAATCAGCTTAAGCAACAACAGATGTGCAATTTGGTCCCGATTTTGTGTTTTCTTTTTTGAATTAAAGGAGTAAACATGGAGCACTGACCCTGTGATTATAAAGAAGAAAGGGAATGAGGGGCACCTGCATATGTGAACGCCAGAAACCGTATACCTGGGGATGTGAGAGGCGTGCTTGTAAACACAGAGAAGACAGCAAAATCACTGATGCCAAAAAGCCACAGGGCTGGCCTCCCGACCTCACAGATCTCTGGTCCGGCGTGTAGGTGCTAACAGAGACCATTCTTCTATTATAGCTACAATAACCAGTGTGGTTATATAGATAAAACTCAGGCTAAGAGAACAGTGGTGAGTGAAGACCGCCTTGTTCGCGGGCAGGGAAGCCAAGACTCAGCCAAGTCCGGGGATGCACTCAAGGTCACACGGCTAGCCAGTCAACAGGCCAGGGAACAGGATCTGGGCCTCTAAGCTGCGGGTCTGAAGCCGTTTCCACTACACCGCCCTGGCTTTGTCCTCACGTTTAATTTCTGCCCCCTGCTGCTGAACCGCTCACCGGTGCGTGGCCAGGTTTCTCAGCTTCGGCACTGCTGACATGTTGGCCGGATGGCTCCTGGAGGCGGGGGCTGCGCCGGGCACCGCACGATGGTGAGCCGCATCCCCGGCCTCCACCCACCAGATGCCAGCAGCGCCCCCTCCCACGGCCTGCACTTGTGACAACCCAACACCGTCTCCAGCCATTGACAAGGACCTTCCAGGGTTCAAAATCTCCCCTGCTTAAGAGCCACTAAGCTACACAAATATCTAGTGTTTGCCTAAATGGCATGTCTAAAACCTTTCTGCTGTGTAAATAAAAGTTCAGGAACTTCAGGAATGAGACCTTGCTCTTGGTCCTCTTGGAAACCTAAGGGAGTTAAAGTTGCTGGACCTTGGCTCAGAAAAGCACATGGGGTCAAGATGAGGAGGGTCGGAGCCCAGGCCCTGCTTTGTGCATAAGCCATCAGCTGGAATACTCTTTGGAACACCAGTTCCGTTTTCTACATGGGCTACCACCGGAAAGGCCCAGGCACCAAGGAGAAGCTGAATTAACACGGACCAGATGCATGAAGTTCGCCTTGCTCGATTTGAGGACCACCAGAGAAATCGGATGGGTAGAAATGACGGATGCTTACTGGCATGTCTTTTGAAATTACACCGATCACCTTCATTCCCACGTTTGATAAATTACACCTTTGAAAACTGTAAGGACAGAGGCTAAGAGACGAAGTCACAGGGACAAAGGCATTAGAGATGTACACCGGGGCTACAAGCAGACCCAGCCCAGTGCTGCTCTTCGGCCACATGCACCCTGGGGCTGCGGGAATTCACGGAGGCCCCAGGACCCCCTTAGCAGCCTCTGACTACGGGAAACTGTGGTGCTTACCGTCCTTTTCAACGATGAAGCACGTCCTGAAAACAAGCCGAACGCCCGGGAAAGACGACTTGGCCATCTCCGTGACCTCTCCAGGCCCCAGACCCCACGGCCCCATGAGGAAAGCACACAGACAGCAGGCGTGCCCTCCTCCTCACCCTACCAAGTCTGAAACCTACAGCTGGCCACGGAATTGAAGAGGCGGCGGGCTTCAGTGCAACTGCACGCGATTTCTTCCCCGAACCCGAAACCCTTCTTTTCCCGGGACGGAGAAAACCCACAGCACTCCTCAGTACTTACTTGCAGCCGTGGGAGCGGCGGTCACTTGGGGTCCGCGCTCGCGAGGTCCTTCCCCATCCCCGGGGAACCCGTGCGGCTGAAGGGATGCCGTGCCCTGCAAGTCTTCGTCCCCCAAAGCACAGGCCTGAGCCCGCAGTCTGTCGAGGGCGCCCAGGCCGGGCACCTCGAAACTGTCCCCCAGTTGGGCCAAGGGGGAGTCGCGCGAGGCCGGGAGGAAGGGCGTGTCCAAGGGCGAGCTCGGGGGAGACAGAGAGGACAGGGAGGAGCGGGAGGACAGGGATGCCAGGGACTGCGGCGTGTCCAGGGAGCGCCTCTGCTTGTGGAAGCCCGAGGGGACCGGGGAATCTAAGAAGGGGGCATCTCGTCCCAGGGAGTCGAAGGGAATGAGATCGAAGCGCAGAAGCTGGCCACACTCGGCGTCGGGTTTCTCGTACTGCGGGAGGCCGTAGATGTCGGTGAAGCTGACAGAGCTCAAGGACCCGCGGCTGGAGGCGAGCGAGCCCCGGCTGGAGGCCAGGGACCCGCGGCTGCTCCCCGAAGACACAGTCAGGGTGCTGGCGGACAGGCTGAAATGAGAGATACCCCACGCTCTTAGAAAAGCGGCCCAAAGACCTGTGCTTAAGCCCCACTGTTCTCCACTGCAAAGCTGAGCATCTGGTCTGTTCCAGAGGGAACGAAATCCTGCCCCATCCTCCCATTAACCAGAGCATGTCTTTAACCACTCACAAGCATTTATAAGGCACCTTCACTAGTATTTCCTTTGTTTCTTTTGAATGTCAGTAGAGAGCGACAGGTAACATCAGAGACTCACGCCTGACTTCAAGTTCCAGCTCAAACGCAGACTAGCTGAGCCCACCGGGTCAAGCAATTTGCCCTTTCAGGACCCCCCACTTTCTCACTGGGGGCTGGGAGATAATCATTCCTACGTCGTGGCATTTTTAGGAGGAATAACTGAGAAAATACATAGAAAGCCGTTAATACTACACCTCACGATATACTAAGTATTTGAAAATAAAGCTATTACTGAGCATCCAATTCTTTAAAAATATTCATATCATTTTTTAAAAAAACAAAATAAAACTATCCATGTGCACAGGGAGATGGATATATACACTTCAGAAGCTGTAAATTATAAAATCATTAGACGTATTTGACTTCAGACTCGCTATTCTGCAGCCAAGCCTGGTTCTCCTCACATTCCCTGAATCATACATTAGCAGCAACTCTTAAAAATACAATGTAGCCGCTTTCCCACTCTGTGTTTACAACCACTTCCTGTTCTAAATTCTGGTAGGAGAAAAACAAGCTAAAGGGAATGATGAAGCTCATGGACATGCCACTGTAACATGATAATTAGGTATAGCTTTCTCTTTTAAAGTTACCTGCCTTTTTAGGGTGCCTGGGTGGTTCAGTCAATTAAGCACCTGACTCCTAATTTCGGCTCAGGTCATGATCTCGTGGAGCCTGCTTCACATTCTCTCTCTCCCTCTGCCCCCAACCCCCCAAAAATAAAAATAAAGTTACCTACCCTTTTTTTTTTTTTTAAGATTTTATTTATTTATTTGACAGAGAGAGATACAGAAAGAGGGGGGAACACAAGCAGGGGGAGTGGGAGAAGGAGAAGCAGGCTTCCCGCGGAGCAGGGAGCCCGATGCGGGGCTCGATCCCAGGACCCTGGGATCATGACCCGAGCCGAAGGCAGACGCTTAACGACTGAGCCACCCAGGCACCCAGTTACCTACCTTTTTAACTGGGACTGGAGATAGGACGTTAGGCGGGTAGCTTCTTCCAGCTGCATAAGTAGACAATTTCTTTTTTCTTGAAGTAGAATCCTGTAGGTAAGAAAATTGTCCATTGGTGGATTTCAAAGAGAATGAGTTTATATTCCCAACAAGAAATTCAACTGTAAATTTCCCCAAGTGATTTAGGTTTGAATGACTCAATTCTAGAAAACACATGTAGGTCACAAACACCAAGATAACAGAGACTGTTTTTCTCTTGCCTGACACTGTCCCCCCAGCCCCCTGAACAGTGCCTGATACACCGTAGACGCTCCACAGATGGGTGGGTGGGTGAACGGATGGGAGGGTGGGTGGGCAGGTGCATGAACAGACAGGAAGGATGAGAGGCTAGACTAGAAGATGGCCTCAAATGCAGAGCACGCAGTAGTCTGCTGGAATTCCTTAGGACAAATCAGAATCCCTCGCTTAAGCCCTGCTCCGGGCAAAAATGCATGGATCCTAAAATCCATAGAATTAAGATTAGACACAAATAAAACAAAACAGCAACTGTCACAGAGTTGGAGGGCATTTTTTCTCTTCTTTCCACTTTCTTCGACTTGAGGCTAATTTCTGAAATGAACTTTGTCCACTGCACTAAGTCCCCTGCCTCGAATGGAGCCCTACACGTAGTACAGGCACTCGACACTTCCTGAATGAATGAATGAATGAATGAATGAATGTGTTTGCCTCAGAACAAAACAGTCCCTGTTTATAAATCAAACGATGGCATTTAACATGTGACCAAGTAGGCACCCTTAAAACAGTCACTCTGTCCTTTGGCGGGGGAAAGGCTTGACACCGTGCCAATCCCCAGGGACACTCACTACCTGGCGACGAGGGCACTGGGGCCGAGGCAGGCAAAGCCTGGCCAAGCAGCGGGCCCATCTCAGCCCCAAGACGCCACCCTCGGTCGCTTCGTTCCATCTCGACACCGGGTCTCTCTAACGTCCCTCAGCCTGCTCCCAGGGAAAGCTGCCCACCTCGGGGGCCCATGCTTCTAATTCAAGCATGCATCCGATGAAGGGAGGTGCACGGAGAACGAGGCCTGCCTCCGCCAGGCCCAGAACACCCCGGCTGCAGGAGCCCTGGGGGGGCACTTGGCGCCCCTGCCTCACCGTGCAGCACGGCTTGTAGACAGAGACCGTTTGCAGAAGTGGCCAGCATGAAAGTGCTTGTCAGCACCAGGGGACAGCCCTCCCTGCCCAAAGCCGTTTAGCGACAGATTCAGGAGACACACGGGGGCCAATTCAGTCCCAGTGGAGGGCTCTGCATCCCAGGACTCAGCTCCTGGGCTGGTCCCACAAGACACTCCAGCAGCTGGACGAGCTTGGCTGACCCAGTCCCTGAACCCAGGCATCGAGGGTCATACCAGCTCCATGGGGTTCCATGGATTTGTACCCTGGGACCCCAGCACTCACGTGTGCTGGGATTTCCACGAGGCAAGGGCAAAAACAATCAAGGGTGCATGGGTGTGGGGTCCTGAGAAGCAGGGGGCATTCATGGGACAGAGTCCATCCCCCTTAAGAGACAACCAACCCAACGAACTCCCAGGCCCTCCTACCCAGAACATATACAACAGAATACCAAGGGGAGAGCAGAAGCACAAGAGCACAGACGAAAACTCCAGTCCGTGGTCCCTTTCCAGACTCAGGATCAACTCCACGTTTATTCTGAGTCACGTGACAGGGCACGCGATCATCCCGAGCAAACTAAGGTTCACTCCAGCTACTCCTCCGAGCTGGGCTCTCCCAATGCCACCGCTTCCGGCCAGCGCTGACACGAGCCGCTGAAGTCACCACACAGACCTCTAGCTATTAAGGATGCCTATCCAAGCACTGACAACCCCAGCGGTACCTCGGCTGGGTAAGCTCCCACGTGATTAAATGACAGGCCTAAGGGCGTCGGTACGGATGCCCTTCACCTATTAAACTCTCCGTACAGAAGGCTCATACAGATACAGCGTACGGTCCTCTTAACACACTGGACTTGAAGGTCCAGTAGATTATCACACGGGGGGGGGGGGGCCTCTCCAAAGCTCAGCTGACAGCCACACTCTCCTGACAGCCGTGACACGGGGAACGCAGACCCAGCCTCCGACGCGGCCCGTGACCGCGCGTGGCCAACGGAAGCCGGCAGCCCGGCACGTGCCGCAAGGCCGGGCAACAGGGATTCGGGCTGCCTGCCGGGCTGGCCTCACGCCTCCAAGGCCAGCGGAGAGGCGGGACAGAGTGCGGAGGGGCGCCTCTGGGGGCGGACGCACGCCGGGCCGCCGGCTTCGTGCTCCCACAGAGCCTCTCCCGGGGCGGGGGGGTCAAAGTCGCCGATGAGAGGAAGGGGTAGGGCCTGCCGCATCGCCGACCGTGCCAGCACCCGGGCTCCCTCTCGGCGCCAGCGCCCGCCTCCCACCCTCCTGCCGGCCGCCCCACGCCTGTGCGGGCTGCCGTCCTGCAGACAAGGGGCAAGCACCCCGATGCTGGGGGCGTGGTGCTAAGCAAGGGGCTCCCAGCTTCCCTCCCTCCTTCCCCTTCTCCATCCCGTCCTGCTTCTGAACAGGGAACAGGAACCCCGGGAGCCCTGGGCAGAGCCGGCACCTCCCACAGAAGGGAAGGCACACGCTCCCTCCACCTTCTGCCTTCCCTCTACGCGGCCAGGAAACACACCAGGCGGCCGATGCCCTGCGTAACCACGACCAGGACCAATCTCGAGTCACGTGCAAGTTCTCCGAGTTAGCTTTTCCGGGTGGTTCTTCCCCCGAAGCTGAGCCCTGCCTGCTCCTAAACCCGCGGAAGCCAGCCCACCTTTCCGTGGCGCCCTGCACCGACGTGGCCCGGGCTCGCTGGATCTCCTCCTCCAGGCGCCTCCTTTCCTCCTCCAGCCGGGCCACGTCTTCCACCGGCCTTCTCTGCTGAATGATGAGCTGCAGCTCTTGAAGCAGGGCTTCCTTCTCCTTGAGGAGCTGCAGCCGGTCCCTGTCGGCCTCGGCCAGGCCCGGCCACGACTCGTTATCAAGCTGGGCCAGCTGCTGCTGAATCGTCGACACTCTGCAAGAGACGGGCCCAGAAAAATCCGTGAAGTCAAAATATCACCACCCATTCTCCACACCATCACGTGGATTCTAAAAACTCACTCTTCTAAGTGAATACTGAAATTATTGCACCAAGTGAACCTTAAATGACAAAAACAAAGCACCTGGAAAGATGGGTCATAAAAAGAATGTGGAGGTCCTCTACATAACCTCCCCTGGCCTAGATTTGGGGTGGCAGTAAGCATGGCATGCTTGCTTCAAAGGACGGACAGGAAGGCTGGCATCCTCCACACCCCCTGCACTGTGTTGTTACAGATTCGTGCTTTCCTCCACGGCACTGTCCCAGAGCAGGACGGAACCAGCTCCTCTCTCCCCATCCCCCACCAGCAGCGGCTAAACACAGTGCTGGATACACGAGAGAAGCTTCTGGCTTCCTGCGTGCTCTGCCGTACCTAACTGCGAACACCACGCGGACAAAATGACAGGAGAGAAATGCACCCATCACGGGGCTTCTGAACAGAAACCCCCCGAAGCCTGGCGATCCACGTCTTCCAGCTCTGTTTGCTCTCTCCAGCACCAGGGACCTGGAGCATAAGTGACATTCAAAATGCCTTGCAGAGAGCAGACACTCAGCAAAAGCTGAACGCGTGAAACTGTGAACAAGCACGCCAGCAAATACACGGGAGCTAAGCGCGGCCACAGGGGGGGCGGGGGGGTGCAAACCAGTCAGCCTCACCAAACGTATCGGCACGACCACCCTCCAGGGGGAGAAGTATGGACGCTGCTGTCACCTTCCACGTGCCTACACTTCCACGTGTTTGGCACACAGGCTGCATCGCTTTGTGCCCTTTAATGCAGATTAAATGAGACGGATGTGGCTTGTATTTGCAGAGCAGCCTTTCACAGGCGGAGCAGGACGATTTCAGCCCTTCAAGTTCAAGTGTGGCTAACTAGGAGGGCTGTTTTCAGACAGAAAACGAGTGACGCCAGACTCGCCCTGAACCCAGCGCTGTGGAGGACAGATGTTGGCACACATGACCCAAAAACAAAATCCAGAGACTCCTCTGAGGTCACAGAGAGCTGTGAAGACAGGGGAGCGGCAGGGGCACATAGCCCTGCATCCTCCAAGGCAGCGATTCTCAAAGTGGGGTCCCTGACCGGCACGCAGCCTCCGCATTACCAGGAGCTCTGTTACAAATGGAAACCTCGGGTGCCACCCCAGAGCTGTTGAATGCGACACGCTGGGGATGGGGTTGGGCGACCGGGGTTTTAACAAGTCCTCCAGGTACTTCTGATGCTCACTTCAGTTTGAAAACCCTCTGTTTTCAGGCAGCCTGGCCTGGTCTGGAGGATCCTAATTGGCCGTGGAGCTCTTAGGGGCCTGCATTAGGCTCCAGTGTGATGATCCTCACTAAAACAGGAACGGCAGGAGCGCTCCTGACACCACCCTGTCCCCTGCCCAGGACACACAAACTAATCAAACCTGGCATCCTGCCCACTAGGTCCAGACCTCAGAATCCTCAACGCTGTGTTCCCTGCAGATACTGCCAATCAGCTGGTGTCGGCCCACATGTTAGAGACTGTTGGCCAGCCCCGCACCGGGTCAGGCTCCTCTTGAGCTAGACATGAGCATGGGGACTAGTCAGCCTGGCTGGAGGGCTGGGTAAGACGCCTTCTTCAAGTACCAAACCAATAAAAAAACCCAACAGTTAAAAAAAAAAAAAAAAAAGTGTAGGGACACCTGGGTGGCTCAGTCGGTTAAGCGTCTGCCTTCGGCTCAGGTCATGATCTCAGG